AGCCCATGAATTTTTGGCTGGGCTTGAGGGATAAAAAGACGGGCTGGCCTGTGTGTTTTAGCTTGGGTTTTCAGTTGGGCTTAGGTAGGTTGGCCCAAGTAAAATAAAAAGAGTGGCCCGACGCCCTTTTTCTTGCCCAGATCTGGTTACGATTTGCACTTTGGCCCCTGATCTTTGGAGTAGTTTCATTGTGGCCCAGAACATTTTAAATTTCTTTCACCTACGTCCTTAAATTAATTGTATTTTGGTCCCTGAATTTTATCTTTCATTTAATTTTGACTGCTAAACTTTGGAAAAATATAATTTTTGTCCCCAAAGATTTTTCAATCTTTGCAATTCAGTCCATAGTGAATTTTGACTCTCTTTGTTATGATTATTTCTTTTCTTTAATAGCTAATTATGTTACTTTAGAATATACTTAACTTGGATTTTTTAGATTTGCTTAAATTTCTTTACGTCTGACATATTAGTGTGAATTTAGTACTTGTATTATTATTTTCTTTTTCAATTAAATTGGTGCCGTGATCCTTTTGTTCATTGTAAGTATAAATAGGACAATTTGACTCCATTTAGTCACCACTTCAAACGGGAGGTACCCCTATTTTTATTATTTCAATGTCAATTACGTGCTCTTATGTGCTCTTATGTGTTCCTATGTGTTTATATTTTTATATGCTTTATTTATTTGAATTAAATATTCATTCAAATTTTCTTATATATGTTTTAATTAATTTTTACAATGATTCAAGAGGCATTTAAATACCTCAAAAATGTAATAGATAGGATAATTAGATTTGTTTTATTATATTTTTCCCTTCTAGATTGTAGTTAGGCGCTCCCCGATGTAATAGATAGGTTGCGTGTTTATGTGGCTTATGTGTTATGTGTTTTATCCATTTTTCTTAGGATTTTGGCATCTAGATATTATGTTTACGTGTTATGTGCTACGTGCTCTTATGTGTTTATTTGTTTTAATTTATGTTTTATTTGTTTCACTATGAATTGTTGATGCATGACGTCACCACACTAGTCCAACGTTAGTTGTGGTTTCTCCCTCCGCTTACTTGCTAGTCCAACGCTAGTAAGGATTTTTAGAAATGGGCTAGTCCAACGCTAGACCCTTTAGGTTATCTTGCGCTAGATTCATCTTTGTGTGCTATTCACTACATTTTCATGTATATTTTTATTTTTAGGATCTTTTCTCATTTGCATGATATTCCCTATTATATTATCCCCTACCCGCTATAGGTGCTAATCATGTCATTTAGAATTGCATCCCATTTAAGCTAGTTCATTTGCTTGTTCATGTTAGGATAATTATTTTTCAAACATGGGAAATGGGTGATTATAACTTTCTAGTTTAAATACCCTATTAATCCATGTATAAGAAAATTATGTCACGAATTTTTTTTTTGCCTCCCGTACCCTTTATGTTGCATTCCCTTTTTCTTTGATCACTTATATATATGTATATAATTTAATTTAATTTCTTTTATTTTCTTTTCTTTTTCATCATTTGCATCCTTGTGACACCTTCGAGGATTTATTTTGACCTTCGCAATTAATGCGATTGGTTCAATTAAACCCTTGAATGAACATGTTGTCCCTTGCGATATTTTTTAGATTTGCATTCATATAGAAAACATCCAAATGTGATAAATTAAGGGTTAGATTAGGAAAATTTTGACTAAACCTCGCAACTAGCTTAGACTAGGTTGAAAGGGTGCCTTAGATTTGAGTTAATCGAATCTTTGCCTTCCCTTTCTTCAACCGTGACTCCCGAATCCATTTTCTCTTGTTTTCAAAGACCTGGAGTTGTCAAAAAGGGTTTTATTTTGTTTTACTTTATTTTTTGGGTGACTTGGTACACCAAAACTCCATACCAAGTGGCGACTCCTGTTTTTTCTTAAAAATCCTTTTAGACTAAATTTTGGACCCAAATTGTCGCATTCTTTTTAAGTCCCATTCTAGGTCCCTTTTAACTTGTTTAAAAATAAAATCATATCTTTTATAAACCTCACACTTTATTTTTCTTTTCCATTGCGAAAAATGGGGCGCGACAACTTGGCGACTCCACTGGGGACGTTAGAGAGTCCAAGCACTTGGCTTAGTCGTCTTTTCTCTTTTTAATCCTTATATTTATCATATTTGGATGTTTTAGGTTGCATGTTTCTTTTTTAGGATGTTTTGCATTTCACACTCGTAATCGTTCCTCGTCTTACGTGTATGTGATGAATGGCTTATTTATTCATTTATTTATTTTTTCTCGTATCGCGCTTTGCATTTGGGTGGGGGAAAATATCACCGTAGAGCCTCCACACGTGTTTTAATTATAATCTCTCCCCTCAAAAGGAAGCACTTCATACGTGCATGCATTATTTTTACCCTATTTTTATTTTTCTCGTGGGCGCCATCCCACATCTCCTTGTAGGATTAGGATCGATTTCCTTAGGTAGGCGGATGGTGTGCTCTGCGCCCATAGCGATGCCTAAGGGATCACTCAAGCCACCGACCGAAGGTTTTGGGATTGATGACCCTTAACTTTTTGGTCTGAAGGCTTGGGAGCCTGAAACCTTATCGAGTCTAGATGCATTAGTAAGCCAAACCTCATGCATCCATATTAGAAATTACCTATGATAGAGTCAACCTATCCAATTAGGAACACTAAGCACGAGGGGAGGGATTTCACCCCTCTTTCTGTGCTTTATTTACTCTTCATTCTTGTATCATTTATTGTCACAATGTGTTATATGTTACTTGTTGAACTAACCTCTTCTTGTTTTCCCTTTTTCTGCATACACAAACTTTAGAAATAAGAGTCCTAACATGGTACTCGTTTAAGATGAGACCGCCTCTTATATCAAGCATGTTTAAATTTTAGTCAATTGCATATGCATATGTATTGCACATCATTTTAGGCTTACCCCGGCATTTAAAGGGGGCACTTTTAGGTCACATTTCAATTATTTCATTGTATATTTAATATGCTTTAATAAATTGTCATCATGCATTAACCATAGAGGGAATGCCGCATAGGGAATCCCACGGTAGGAATAAGTCACCTTTTGTCTCGGATATGTAATCCAATGAGACTTGCATGTTTATGATTTTGTATGGCCTAAGGGGTAAAATCCCGAGGTAAGGTACTAAGAGTGAAATTCCTCCTCAGATGGCTCCGTGCAGAATGCTGAACCAGATACCTCGGGAACTAACGGACTGGAAAAATGATATGACACATGAGGTGAAAAGACTGTTCAAATATGTGGGATATTTACCGAGTCTTCTAAGCATAACCCCAAATGTTGCAATCATTCAAGCTCTACTTGGGTACTGGGATCCAGAAGGTTCTGTTTTTCGATTCGGTGAATGTGAACTAACACCAACTTTAGAAGAAATAGAAGGATTATTGCAGATACCTGGAAAAGGTTATCCTATGATATATCCAACTAATGGAACAAGGGAACAGTTTTATAGGTTTTTGGGATTAAGGCAGGCTAGTATGAACCAACATCCGGATGCGAGATCGTGCCCGTTAGAGTTTCTGTATGAACGAATTGGAGAAAGAGGGTCCTATGAACAGTACCGAACCGATTTTTTTATAAGTAAGGAGCAATGGGTAGAGAAGCGAGTGCAAGCATTTGGATTAGCTTTGATCAATCTGTTGTTATTCCCGCAAAAGTATGGAAAGATCACATTTTTCACTATCAACATGGTTCAGAGCCTATTTTCAGGGATTAATGGAATGACCCCTACGTTGGTGCCTGTAATCATTGCCGACATCTTCACGGCCGCTACTGAATGTCAAAAGAAGAGAGGTTTCTTTTATGGGTCAAATTTGATACTCCAAATGTGGGCAATGGAGCATCTAGCGAAGAGAACGCTAAATCCTTTGGGATATTGTCTCCCCGCAGAGAATTGGATCGAATCACACCGAGAAAGGGTCAAAAGGTATTATCGAATTGCATCTCCGACTCAGTTTATTCAAGAGTTCGATAACTTGACACCTGAGAAAATACAATGGGTTTTGGATTGGACAAAAGTTAGGGATCCGGTTTTCACGACTACCCAACACAGTTTTATCTCCCTAGCAGGCACCAATGGATTGGTCGCATATGTTCCGCAACGAGTCATGAGGCAATTCGGGTATCCACAAAGAGTTCCGATGATGCAAGGGATTGAAAATATCAGACTCAACACTATTGCTGAGAGTCAGAGCATGGTATTGGAAGCTTGGGGAAATCTTCTTAGTTTAGAGAACTTGCACTTGGATCAAGTCAACAAATTGGAACCTAAGATCATTTCAGAATATAATGAGTGGATCAAACTGACAGTCGAACAAGCAAGAGAGAAAGCACAGTCTGTTTCCGCTAGCCCTGAAGAACAGATAGATAAGTTAAAGAAAGAGCTCGAGGATTATCAATTGCAACTTATAGTGGCAGACCATGCCCTGGAAGACGCCCGAGCACAATTAAAGTGGGAGACAAGAAAAACTGAAAAGTTGGAGAGAGCCCTGGATGCATTTGACAAAATTCGTGAAGGAATTCGGAAGCTTAGTATAGGAAGTTCTAGGGAGTCTCAACGTACTAGTTTAGTAAGGCATGAGGATTTTGTAAAAATGGTCAGTCGAACCATCAATGAAGCTGTAAAAAATGATTGAACTTGTCAGTGGTTAATGAAAATTTCTACTTGAATTTCTACATTCACTTACAGGTTTGAAATTGGGATTTTACCCCGAAGGTGTTGCATCATATTAGGCCGACCCTTGGCACAAAAAGGGCTCCCCATAGGACATGCATTCGAATTATTTAAATATCTACTAACTCATGTTTTTTTTTCCTTTCTTTTTTTCTTTTTTCTTGAATAAATCACAGCAATTTGACAGAAAATCCAACCCTAAATGAGTTTCTTTTCTCCACTATCAGGTATTTTTCACAATTGCTACCCAAAGAAGCCCCATCATCACCAGGTCCCGAAGTAGAGTCTTGAGACAGTCTGTAAACATGAGTTCAGCGCCTGAAGCTTCGGAAAGATCTGCTATGGTTACATCACCGGACTTCACAGCATTGGGAGCTCAGTTAAGTGAGGTACTTGCCAAGTTCAATGAGTTAAGTGCTGAAATGGCCGCACAAAGGCGTGTAATTGATCAGCTGGTCGCCAGCAACAATGGTGGTGGTGTCCCAAACGATCAAGAACCTATCGATAATCACCCACCTGCACAAGACTATCAACCACCCCACACATCCAATACCCAAACACCTTTCTTTCCTCCTTTCGCTAACCCTGTTGAAAATACCTTTGCCCAATTAAATTCAGACTTTTCCTATATGCATCCGAATTATGTATTGGTGAACCCAACCAGTAGTCAAATCCCTCAAACTCATCCACAAACCAATCTGAACATCCCCCCCAATCCTTAGGGACCCCACCACCATACTGCAGAGCCTTTTGTACTGGATACTGCATCTCAAGGGAAGGCGGCGATAGAAGAACAGCCTATACCCATTGACAAAGATCTGTTAAGAAGGTTGGATCGATTCGATGATTTTATGAGAAAGAATCAAGGATTGAGCAGGCATGGTGGGTTAGATTACGATGAATTGTGTCTTTTCCCGGATATTCAGCTACCGTTGGGATTCAAAACCCCTAAATTCAGCAAGTATGATGGAACTGGAAATCCAAAGACGCACCTCAAGATGTTTGCCAACAAGTTAGGTAAACCTGTGGATGATGAGAATTTGCCTATGCGTCTATTTCCGGAAAGTTTGGAGGGAGATGCTCTAGATTGGTATTCAAATTTGAAGTCTGGAGAAGTCAAGACCTGGTTGGATCTATCAACTGCTTTTGTGAAGCAGTATGAATTTAACTGTGAGTTGGCACCAACACGAACTACACTGGAGGGTACGAAAAGAAAGCCGTCAGAGGATCACAAGACGTACGCAAAACGGTGGAGAAAGTTAGCTGCCAAAGTGGAGCCTCCTATGACCGAGGAGGAGATTGTTCGCACTTTCATCAAGGCCCACGATCCACCTTATTTTGAAGAGATCTTCCGCATGACTGGAAGTCCATTTGCTTCTATCATTAACAAATTGGAGGAGTATGATGAATTTGTCAAAGCAGGGAAGATTGTTAATGTGTCTGCATTAAAGTTGCAATTGGATGCTCTACAAAATCAAAACAACAATGGGAAAAAACCCCCATTCAGAAAGAAAGAAGGTGATACTGCTTTTGTATGGGATCAAGGCCCGTCTTTCAGACCCAGAAATCATCCCACCTATTCTTTTCCTTACCCGTATTACACCAATCCTCAACCAGTCTACCACACCACTACCCAATTCCATCATTCCCGACCAAATCATTTGAATACCTCGCCCTTACCTCCAACTCCACAATCTGTTTTTCAAAATCACTCTCGTCCCATTTACCATTCCAGACCAACCCTGCAAAACAATAACCCTTCTCAAAATCCTTTGCAAACCAGTGGAATTCAAACTCAGAAGCAATTTCGAACATTCACCAACTTGGGCCGACCTATTGATCAGTTGTATGAGCAATTAAAAGCAGCTGGAAAAATTGGCACTGTTCCTCCCAAAATCTATCCTAGAGGTCCCCCTGCCGGTTATGATCCGCATGCAATTTGTGCTTATCATTCTGGAAGTCCAGGTCATACCACTGGCAATTGTTGGGCTTTAAAACATAAGATTCAGAACATGATTGACTCTGGAGACATCCTTCTCAGAAGAAAGGGAGAGCAGGGACCGAATGTTAGTAAGAACCCTCTACCTGAGCATGGGAGCACTGTGGGGGTTATCATCGCTGATGAAGACTTTAACGACCCCAGTCAGTACATTGTAGATGAAACTGAAGTATTTGGCGTGATGGAAACTGACCATGCGGAGATGAGGAAACTACTGTCTGTTGAAGAGTCCATAACTAAGGATAGTGCTGAAGAAAAGTTAAAATCTTTTGTGTTTGAGAAAGAGGAGCCGTTTATGGTAGAATGAGGGCCTTCCGAAGTTGACAATTCCGAGGTTCCTTTTATTTTGGATCTTCCATCTTTTGAATGGGATATATCAGAGCCTGCTATTCTCGAATTTTCAGAACAAATGCCTGTCAATAACTTGCAAGAGGTACCATGGAACTACGAGGAGCCCAGTCTGTTAATTGGAGGTAAAGATTGCTTTAAGGAAGATATATCTACTATTACTAGATCTGGGAAAATTGTGGGAAACTCCGATGTTCAATCCTGGGCCAAGGTTAAATCTCCGACACCCAAGCCTCATGTGTCTGAAAATGAAGCTGTAGATTTTCTGAAGATGCTAAAAAGAAGCGAGTACAAAATAGTGGAGCAGTTGGATAGGATGCCTGCTCAGATTTCTTTTCTGAATCTTCTCTTGACTTCTGAGCTGCACAGAGAAGCATTGCTCAAAATTCTGAACGAAGCTCAAGTCCCTAAAGATATTCCGGTGGATAAATTTTCTAACATTGTGGGGAATGTACTTGCTGCTAATCATATTACCTTCTCCGATGATGATCTGACTGCAGAAGGGATCGGGCATAACAGAGCTTTGTATATATCGGTCCGTTGCAATGGAAAGCTGTTGCCGAGGGTTTTAGTGGATAATGGGTTAGCGTTGAATATCTGTCCATGGAACACTCTCACCAAACTTGGATTTCGTGATATTAAACTCCGTCCATCTGCAACTGTGGTTCGAGAATTTGATGGTTCAAGGAGGGAATCTATGGGTGAAGCAGATCTGGTATTGGAGATAGGCCCTACTCAATTCCAAGTTACTTGCCAAGTCATGGATTTCTCCAGTGTTTACAACATTTTACTTGGAAGACCTTGGATACATGCTTCCAATTCAGTGCCATCTTCTCTGCATCAAATGTTGAGATTTATTATGAATGATCAGCTCATTACTGTATTTGCTGAGGATGACTGTACCATGATCATTGATGCAAATTTCAAAGGCGAAGACAGAAAAGGGACTCCAATTTCATCTCATCATGTTGCTGACATAGTCTCTGTAGGTTGGGCATCTAGGGATAAGTCGTTGACTCAATCAGATTTGCCAGAGGCAAGTATTATGATGGCGAGAGAGATGATCCGAGGCGGATATGAAATAGGAAGAGGTCTTGGGCGAGAATTGCAAGGAATTTTGGAGCCGATAGAGATCCCTACGCAAAAGGATACATTTGGACTGGGATTTCATCCGACTGCTAAGGACAGAAGGGAAATGCAAGCTCGAAAACAAGATGAAAAGAAGGGCAAGCAAATTGCCTTAAATATCCCACCGCTATATCACACTTTTCCTCGTCCATCAGAGGTGATTATGCCAGAAATGAAGAATCCTGTGGAAGAGATTGAACTGGACCTGTCTCAATTATTTGTCGGGGCCACTTGTGAGGAGGAGCCATTGGAGAATGCAGAATTTTTGCCAATTACCGAAGGAGCTATTCAGAATTGGACTGCTGATTATCTTCCCTCTCGAAGGGAATTTCGGTAAATTTAAGGGGATTGTCTTTTGTCTAGATCACATCCAGATAGGACAGTAGTCTGGATCTTTTGTTAAAAGAAATTGCTTTCATCTTTTAAACCTTTATTCTTGTTTCAGCTAATATAACTTGCTTTGTTCAAGAAAATTGCTGAAACGAAAATAAAGGTTTGGGTTAAATATGTCTTTAAATAGCAATCATGGCTGTATATTCATCTTTTTGTGAAGTCTCGATGCATTTTGAATTTAATGAAATGAAAGACTTCTCCAGTATTTGCTATTTATTTATTACTTATGTTTTATTCTATTTTCAGATGGCCACAAATAAAATCCTTTGACCCCTTGGATGTCACCATTTTGGAATTCGATGGCTGCAATCTCGATATCTCTCATGAACTTGAAATCATGCAATCTGAAATTCAAAGTGAGAGCGATACTGAGGAAGAATTTGAGTCTATTTCAAGGGATTTAAAACAGTATGAAGAGAAACCCAAACCCAACTTAGAAGAAACAGAAATCATCAATATTGGCACTAAGATGGAGGTTAAAGAAGTTAAAGTCAGCATTCATTTGAATAGGAAACAAAAGGAGGAAATGATTGAATTCTTAATGCTTTTTCAAGATGTGTTTGCATTGTCATACGATGATATGACAGAGATCTCTACAGACATAGTGGTTCACAGGTTGCCAACTGATCCAAATTTTTTACCTGTAAAGCAGAAGCCACGTAAATTCAAACCAGAAATGAGTCTCAAAATAAAGGAACAAATTGTGAAGCAGCTCAATGCTAAGATAATCATGGTGTCTCATTATCCCATCTGGTTATCGAATCCTGTGCCAGTGCCTAAGAAATCTGGGGAGGTGCGAGTATGTGTTGATTACAGAGATCTGAATAAGGCCAGTCCAAAAGACGATTTTCCTTTGCCAAACATTCATATTCTTTTGGACAATACTGCTGGACACGAAATTGAATCTTTTGGTGATTGTTTTGCTGGGTATCATCAAATTTTGATGGCAGAAGAAGACAGAGAGAAAACCTCTTTTATCACCCCATGGGGAATCTTTTGTTATAGAGTGATGCCTTTCGGGTTGAAGGATGCTGGAGCCACTTATCAGAGAACCATGACTACCCTGTTTCATGACATGATTCACAAGGAGATGGAGGTCTATGTGGATGATATCATAATTAAATCCAAGAAGGTTGAGAACCATTTGGTTGATTTAAAGAAGCTGTTTGAAAGATTGAGGAAGTATAATTTGAAGTTGAACCCTGCAAAATGTGCTTTTGGAGCTCCGGCTGGTAAGTTATTGGGATTTATTGTCAGCAAGAAGGGTATAGAGATAGATCCTGCGAAAATAAAAGCAATTCGAGATATGCCCATTCCGAAAAGTCAAAAAGATGTGAAAAGTTTTCTTGGAAAGATCAATTTCATTGGTCGATTCATTGCACAGTTAACCTCTACCTGTGAGCCTTTATTCAAATTGTTGAAAAAGAATGCGCCAATGGATTGGAATGAAGATTGTCAGCAGGCTTTTGATAAGATCAAGAATTATTTGTTAAATCCTCCGGTCTTAGTGCCACCTCAGCCAGGAAGACCTCTGATTATGTATTTGTTTGTTCTTGATGAGCCAGACCAAAAGTGTTTATTTTCCTGTAAGGAAAACAAAAGGGACAGAAAGGGGTGAGCTTGCGCTCAATGAGGTACCAAACATATAGCAGAAAAATCATGGCATTTCACATTTTACAAATCAGATACACATGTCAGATGTAAAGCAAAGGAACCAATGATTCAAATCAGAAGGATACGGGTGGCTCTCAGGAGCCAAATTTCCAGCGCAGTACTTGATCCAAACCGGTTGACTCTCCGTCAACGTATATAGAACCAAAACGTCCGTAGACCCCTCTTCACACCGAATTCCGTCCACCAAACACCCCCTTTATCGGGCCCGCTCACCGTAACCGAACAGAAATGGTAATACTCGAGTATACCGGAATCAAGGGTCTCAATACCCAAAAATCCCGAACAGACTACCGTGGTTCGTTATCTAATCGTCCAGGCCCTTGCCGGCCCGACTCGAATAACTTAGCCATAGGATTGAGCTCATAGGTCATAGAAATCCGAATAGATGCAGACACAGATAACAGATTCAGATACAGATACAGAATAGCATATTCAGATAGCAGATTCAGACGGCAGATTCAGATAGGCACTCAAAATTGGCATATGAACAGACAAGAGAACGAGTGTGATAAAGTACACCCTCGTCTCAAACAAATTAAACAGATTGCAGAGCAGAAATCAAGTTAAACAGCAATGGAGGGGAGTGGTACACTCACCGGTTCAACTTCAAAAGTTTTCACTTCAGATTGGCCTTAATCGCCAAAAACCCTAAAATAATCAAAATAAACCAATTGAAGGTTTCACATCCAAAATCAAGTAAACGGAATGCGCAAGTGAGGCTCGACTACACGTCGTACGCCTTGCCAAATAAATACTAGTGCGAGGGTGGAAAACATGATTTTCTTGGAACAAAAAGATAACATGAAGACCTAGGCGCCAAACAACCCAAAAGCCTTTTATTTCTATCAAGAGGCAAATCCAACTTAAAGAACCAAACGGCCTAGAAAATTGGGCAGCACTTCCCCTGGATTCCTTACTTTTCCAGCCATTAAGGCTTCATTATTTCCTCAAATCAGTCCCAACATCTCACACAAAAGTCATCTCATTTCCCAAAAGTCATTCACTAGGCTCAAAGTAAAAGTTAACTAGGAAATGACCGGAATAAAAGTAAGCCTTAAAACATACAAACAAGTACAATGAGACTCGATAACTGATCATAAATCAATGCCAAATATGACCCCAATAGGGTTCCATGAACATATACAAACAGTAGAGAAAACCAGAAAATTCGAAATGCAATTAGCTTTGGCCTTGAAAAACAGTTTTTGACCTCTTTTTGCGGTAATGGCACCAAATGCCCTATGATTATCGGATGAAGGTGTAAGACCCACCATTTCGAAGCTAAAAGACAGGGATACAACATCACAGAAGGTCACTCAGCCCAGTTTTGAGTGAAAACAGGTCAAAAATGCAAAATACTACATCAAAAACGTAAAACAGATTCACCAAAACACATTCTAGCGGAAATATCATAACTCAGGCTCTACAAGTCCAAATCCAGAAATTCCAAAACCAGATGAAAGCTAAGAAACAGGGTTAAATTTCTTCAGAAGGTCTCAACAACTAATTCGGAAGCAATCTAGACCAAAACAACCAATAACAGTCACAAATCCCAATTTCGGGTAAAACCAGAATAGCAATAGTAATTTCGACTTATCTCATTCTACACTACTCTGATTGATCTGAACTTTTGTAGGCACCTATAAAATATCATTCTACACAACTTTCATGTTTTGAGCTAAGGCCAATTCGGCCTCTAACTATGAGATATAAATTCGGGCAGAATGAAGAATCAAGAACCCTAATTTTTCAATTTTTGGTCCA